GTACTTTTTCACATATGAGACTAATAATTTAATTAGATATGCAGTTTTATATGTAATAATATTATTTATATATATTTTTTAAGGTACATACTTTTTAGTTTTTATAACAATTATAACTGCTTAGGAAGGTATATTAAATTGTTTTAGTAAACTACATTTTGGTTTAAGTATCAGGTTTATGTTTTAAATAATTTGGGTCTATATGTGTGAAATATAATTTTTTTWAATGTATTATGAAATTTAGTTTTTGATTCTGTTTTGTAAAAAAAAAACCAAAAAAAAGAAAAACCAACAATATTGTATAACAAACAAAAACAATTGATGTGTATAAATTAATTATTATAGAAAAAAAAACCCACTATTTGATTGTAAAAACTTGGTGTTTCCATATCATATTATAGAAGTATCTACAATTAAACTACATTTTTCAACAAAATTATATCAATGTAATAGATATTACTACAATTTGTACCAAATACTAATTATTTATAAGATTGGTCATATTATTAGGTGACACTTTGTAGATATGAATAAAAACAATAATTATATTTAGAGCTGTTTTACTTGATGAAAGATCAATACATTTATTAAAATTTTAAACAGTGAATCTCAATCTGCTGTTTCCTACAGGGTCACAGGCTATAGAATTATTAACTGATTCTGTATTATAAATAGCTAAGGCTCAGATGTTTATACACTTAAAACTATTGTAATATGCATACATTTATGCACTATAGAATTACAAAATATGTATTTTTAGCCGATAGAAATACCAAAACATGCAAAATAAAAACTTATTATAATTCATAAAACAAAAATATTTTGGTACAGGGGTGTCCAACCTTTTGTGAAGATTGGGCCACATACTTTTTTTTAAATAATAATACATTCAAATTTAATGATCAGATTATATTCTATTATACAATAATATTTTTTTTTTTTGTAATTTTAAAATAGTAAATAATAAGTAGGAATATTTATATACATACATTTTTTCTCTTAATATTAATAGATTATACATATTTACAATTAATTAATGGTTTTTAAATTTCAGTGGGGGCCGCATCAAAATTGACCACAGGCCACGAGTTAGACACYGCTGACCTAGTAGTTATTTTTATCTATAGTATTATTTTTTTTTTATAGAATTTAAAATACATTTTTAAATTTACATTATTAGTGTTATATTGTTCTTATATGGTCTTTTAATTTGATCAAATGTGTAAGTACATTTCTTTAGTGTGAAAAACTTAGTTCTAAATAAATTGATGTTATTGGAGCATAATTGAAGAATGCATAGATCCTCAACCTTCAAATCTTCTGCTTTTACTTTCATAGTATTGACTTCACCGGATGTATTTTCAAAATTTATACCAAAGGTTAGACTTTAGTTGCATGTTGTTTACATTATAAAACCAATCAATCCGTAGAAAAAATATCATTCCCAAACTCGATAACAACATTTTTAAAACRTATTGAACAGGATGACTTGACTTTCTGCATTTTTAAATAAAGTGCATAAATACATGCATATTACAGTAGTTTTAAGTGCATAAACATCAAAGCCTTTGTAATAAGCAATTATTTTTACAACACTGTGTGGTGGATTGCACCACCTATAAAACTAATATATAAAAATTGTGTAATTAATTGTATAGTTTGTTAATTTAAATTGTTTTTTTCAAAAAATGTACTGAAATATGAATTTTTATTTTTAAAATCCCAAAATATGAAATTAAAATAAAGACCATTAAATATGCAAAATAAAAATTGTATTATTTRATTCAGTAAAATATGAATTAAATTTGTTTCCCGGTTAGCATTAAATTGAATAAATAGAATAAAATAAGCAATTTCATAAATATCTTTATTTATTATAGTTTAGTAGTTAGATAATCTACACTCTACAATAATAAATAATAATTATAGGTACAGCGACCAAAAAATTAAAATCAAAAATCAAGGGTGATTAATGTTTTAATACAAAATTTGTAGTGCTTGTTGATTAGTAAATTAAATATTTTTTGATATGTGGTCAGAGCTTTGACAGGTTGACCACTTGATAACGATCATATTATTAGGTTATACATTTTATTTCTTACAAGAGTAACAACTACTTCTATTATTCATAAATAAAAATGTATGAAAAATGAGTAGACAGCATGGCGCAGCAGTTCTCAAATATTTACAACCATGGCACCCTTAGGAAATTGTTTCGTGTATCGTGGAACCCTAAAGTCTGTAAAACGAATATTATTTAGGTGAACTTTTTTCCCCAAGTATAATATAAAATAATTTTCTCAATATTTACATACATCTGGTGAATGCTTGTGCTTTAACCCTAAAGTCCTGCAGTAATACACTTAGGGAATTGCTGGCATGGCGCATACTATACGCCAACATTGCTACCGCTACCTTTTTTATTTATTTAAGGACACTTTTTTTTCATAGTAACTGTATTCAAAAAAGTAAATATAGTTTAAGTTACAATTTTAAGTATTGATTATGAAAATCGTAATAGATMACAAGTGTTTTAATTCTGATATAAGAAATAAAATAAAATTTATACAGACACACAGACACTTTATTTAATAAATTAGTATTATATTATGTAATTGGAATTTAAACAAATGCGTTAAATAGACTGAAAGGAAGGATATTGAGGGTTCCATTTTTATACTTATTTTTATTTAAATATATTAAGTGCACTTGTAGAAAAAAAATTCTGTTACAAATATCTTATATTAAAGAGAACATTTTTTTAAGTTAATTTATATATTTTAAAACATAGTTTATATTWAGTTGATTAATGAACATAGTCATGWGTCTTATTTGTATGTAGGTCTGTTTATAAATGTATTTCTATACYAATATATAATACAAGTCATAATTATTTAATACAATTGACATTGATACTATAATATAAAATATAATATGGTGTTATTAATGCACATTAGAGTTAATTTTATTTCATTGATCTTATACTTAATAATTAATGCAAATTAAAAATGCTTTTATCATAGGTATATGCATTTAATATCCATATTAACTTTATCTTATACATATTAATGATTGTTGTAGTGATCACGTCGCCTACAGGTATCAGTAGTCAAGGATGA